CAGAGTATCTGGTTCCGCACTTCATTTGACAGAGGAGAAGACTAAGGCCTAGAATGATGAACTTCTCTAAGGCCTTAGATCCATGGCAGGGGCAATTATTGAACATTTATTACTAAATGCTTACTATATATCAAGCACTCTAAGGCACTGGAGATACGGAGATATATCACACAAGCCCTGCTCTCAAGGAACTGACAGTCTAGTGGGGAATCAGACCCATACATTTCTGCAACAGTGAGTTCTAGATGCGATGAGTGCTAATACAGAGGTATCTACACAGAGCTATGGGAGGACATGGGATGCAGTCACTAAATAAACTGGAAGAGGAAAAAGGCTACAAGAAAGAATGTCAAAATGAGAAAGGAGGGAGAGAAGGTTATTTCAGGTTGAGGGAACAGCATGAGCAAAAACTTGCCACCTAGCTCTCACAGACTCTAACTCAGAAGAGATTTTAGAGACTAGCTTTTTATATGATTTTTAAAATTACTTATATATTATCTTAGAGAGATGATAATTCAATTTCTGCTGGAACATTTCCAGTGAGAAGAAAGTGATTACCTCACAAGACAGAAAAGGCTTAGCTGTAACCTTTTCAGTTGGTATCGCATTGTATGTAGCGGGTCTGTCAGATTCTATCTCTTTATTGTCGCTGAGTAACAGGCCTAGGAATATTTGGTCTTTGACTTCCTCTCAAGGGAATCAAGGGAATAAGCAAATGTCATGTGTTTTAGGACCTTTGACTTACAGAATGTTAGAGCTGGAAAGGACCTCAGATATCATTTAGTTTAACAGTTTTTTTATCCCTCTGTGACTCATGGACTTTCTTTGAGAATGTGATAAAAATCTATCCTCTCCCCCAAAATAGATCCTCTCCCCTAAAATGCACAAATGCTCATGACACATGAAACGGTGCATACAGTTTCAGGGCATTCATGGAGCCCCAAAGCCCATCCTGGGTTAAGAAATCTTTTCATTTTACTGAGGGGACACTGAGGCTCAGAGAAGTGGAACAGCATGAAGTAGAATCATGGAAACAATTCTCCACAGGCCAGACCTCAGTATGAACAGAAGAGTCAGCCCTATGGGTCAATCCCGGAGAGAGGTGTTGATAGACTGAAGATGTTCAGGGGAGCAAGTGGCAACAGGGTCAATTATAAGGGAAAGGAGACCTGGGGTAGGAGTGGGAGCGTCTTCAGCAATTTAATTATCTGGAAGTCGGTTTATGGAAAAGGATTTAGATTTTTCTCCTTCACTTCAAGGGGTAGCTGTAAGACCAAAAGGTAGAAAAGAACTGCCAGACAGAACTGTCCACTAATGCAACGTGCTGCCTTGAGGGGTACAGAATTCCCTGTCACTTGACTTTTTGAGAACACAGAACAACATCCTGTAGAAAGGACTTAAGCATCACAAGCGTTTGAACTGGGTGACACAAACTGGACTTGATTAGATAATTCTAAGAGACACATTCAGTCTCATAGCTAGCCAGAATGAAGCTCAAGTCTTCCAGAAAGCACGGTAAGTAAGGAAGTGAAGAAAGTTCAGGATGGCTGAGACCTCAAGTGCGAGGGTGTGGGAGGGAGGTAGCAGTGGAGAGAAACGAGACTTGGAGATATAAGTGGAGGGAAAATGTTGAAGGCCTTACGTAGCACCATGCTGGTATTCAAGAATAATGGCCACTACAGAGGGGTGGGACAGAAGGATGAGAGCAAAAGGACATAAAAGGACATTTCAAGAGAGGAATGAACAGAATCAGTGGTGGCAGTACTAGCAGAGAAATACGGAGGTGAGAAGAGATGGGTTGTGGCGATGAGCTGTAGGTTTCCCACAGTGAGTCTGCAGTGGCAGTGACAACAGGACATGCAAATGGAAATGTCCAATGACCTGAGTGTTGGCAATGACAAAAGGACCGCAAAATGGAAATGCCCAGCAGGCAACGATGCTACGGGATTAGAGTTCCAGGAGGTCAGCCTGTGAGACAGAGGAAGGGGCTATCTACAGAGACGAAGTACTCAAGTTTTAAGAGTGGCTACATTTCAGTGGAAAAAAGGACAGCGTGAGGAGCAGTCTAAGGAGCCAGCCCGCAGGGCTGACCTCCATGTGGAGATGGTGTAATTGAAAAGATGTGAGAAGGAGGAGTCAGAGAGTTAGATGAGACCTGAGATTAGAGAGAGAGATAAAAACCTGGCAGAAAGGAAGCTTCAAGGAAGAAGGGTGATCAACATAAATACAGTCTTATTTTGGTGTGCATTCACGTGTGCTTTGGCAGGTAAATTACAGTAATGTTCATTTTGGCAACAACATAGGTGGTGCAGAATGAGTTATAAAGTGCTTTTAGATGGATTATAGGTATTTCTTGAATAGAATTTTCTAAAAACATGCCTTAGAAAATATGACTAAAACTTCTCTCTCTCTCAATTTCTCTATCAGTAAATTTGAAATCACTTTAAGTTTAATAACTACCTTCCACATCGTCGCTTTAAGGCAGGTGATTTCTGCCATCCTAACGTGATAACTGGGAAGGGTGCGCTGAGGTCAAATGATGTGCCTGCGTCACCTTAGTCAATGAGGCAGCAGCAGCAAGGACTGAATTTAACATTCTGATTTCTGCTCCTTAAAGCAAAAACCAAACACAATTAAACACTGACTCAGATTTTAGGAAATAACATTTGAGATATAAAATTAAAACAAATTAAATCAGTTCCTTCTCCATTTAAATGTTTCTCTTGGAGATCTATGCTACAATGGCGATAGGAGGTGATGGTTAAACTGTAAGAAACTGTTGACTTCCGATAATGACACCAATAAAGGAAAGACTGTGATTGAGAAAAAGTAAAGGAGATGATAATTTTTCACTTTGGGCAATTTCAAATATAATCACTGCAAGCACAGCTCCCATTTAAAAGCGTTTTTAAAACTTAACTTCAGAAACTAATAACCAAGAACAAAGAGGATCTATCTTCCTCGACAGTGAAATTAATTAGGATAACAACGAAAAGGGGGGTTGAGCTAGATGTTCCCTAAATCCCCTTGTCCTTTCAAACCCTCTGGCCTGGGAGTTACAAAAGGCCATGTCAGGTGAAAAAATGTAAACCACTACTTGATTTAAGCATGTCATTATTTGAAACCCCCTTCCTCCATATAGGAGATCTTCTGATAAATAGATTCTTAGTTCCCAGCTCTACACCGACTCAACAGCGGGCCAGTCCAAACTCTTGCCCCAGGCACATGGCCTCTGGGCAGGACCACAGGCAGAGGAGAGGAGGAAGAGGCTGAGATCACTTACAGTGAAGAAGGGGGTTTCTGCAGAACTGGAGAGTGCCTAGAATCAATTGGTCTAATTTGTCATGTTTTACAGATGGAGAAACTGAGGTCCAGAGAGAGAAATGCTGTGTTCAATTCATCGTAAGTAAACATCAGAGGCTGGATTTGAACCCAGGTCTTCTTTCCACTCAACCATAATGCTCCTATTCCACTGGGAAGGGAGTTTGGGGGCCAGGAGGACTCCTGGGTCCCCTCTCTCAATAACAAAGTGGAATGTGTTTGGATTAATACACTCCTTTTGGGGGACATACAAAGTCAGTCATGTTGCCTCTGCAGAGTGCCCCCTCATATTCAGGTAGTTATGACTTCAAATTCTGAAAATAGAGTCTCATACATTAAACTAGACTTTATAGAAACATCAGTAGAAGGAAATACAATATTCCATCCCTTGCAGAGAATATTTACTTGCAACTCAGGATAGTTTGTCACAAGTATTACCTACTTACAGTTGTCACTCACATGCAGAGAACTTTTATAAGAAGGCTAGAAAAAGAGACATGTAGAGGATTTAGGTTAATACTGGATTCCTTGGCAAAAGCGAAGAGAAGAGAGCATCACTAAGAAAACAGTGCAAGATAATATTTCCTAGGATGCCACCTGTTTTGGCAGCTTTAGAGTTACAGAAAATGACGTGTTTCTGTCAGTCTTGTCTACCAAAGGCTGACATTATGGTTGGCATTCCAATTCATAGTGGTAGTTAACTTCTCACTAAAATCGTTTATCCTGGCTTTTACTATTATTTTTAATAGTTATTTATTACACTTATGCTTCCCCCTTGTGGGCAAGATATGCAAGGATTCAAGAGTCGGAACAATTTGAAGATTTTCAAACATTCAAGATACAGCCAGGAAGTTATCCCTCAAGAATCTGCCTGCCATCTGCATCTTTATCATCAGAGGTTTTGGTATCTATACCTGCTAATGCAATACTTTCCTGCTATTTAAAATACCCAACACAGGTATCAAAGAAAAGGGAAACCAAAGCATAATCTAAAATCAATCATTTATGGTAAAATAATCAATGTATAATTAATAATAGGCACAAATGACTATTTTGCACATTTTGTATCATTATCCAAAAAAGTGTGAGGTCCTTGAAGCAAGGACTTTGCTTTGAGTCACCATTTTCTCCATAGGTTCTAGCACAGGGTTTTGTATGTATAGCAAGAATTCAATCAATATTTCTTGAATAAATTATTTTATTCAGCACAGATTTGTTAAGGAATAGGTGGGGGAGAGCAAGTTATTTATAAGTTGGTTGCTTTAATCAAACTGAAACTAGACATAGATTAGTCTAGTGGAAGTAGGCTAGATATTGGCGTGTTTCCTTTGGAAAGGCAGGAAAGGTGAGGAGACTAGCTATCTCTTTGTACCTCACTGTAGGCAGCACTCCACCCCCAACTCCTAGCTGTAGGTGGGTGGGGAGTGGTTTATCCCTGAGCTGGAACCCCAGGGACCAACCTAGAAGAAGAGCCACCAAGTAGAGATTAGGTCTTCACCCTTCATGGCGGCCCCAGTCCTCCGAAGGAGTGGTGAGCAGAAGCAGGAAGGTGATGTGGGTACAGGGATCAAAATTATTTCAGATTCTCTCCTGGTTCCCTCTCCCGCCACTCCCACCACCCCGCCCCCTCCACCCTGATTCTGAGTTGTGAGAACACAGTCTCTATAGATCAAACTTACTTGGCAGCAGCATCTTTTCTCAACTGTTCATGCTTCATGAGGAGATTCTTCCGGTCTCGGAAAGCTTTTCTGACCTTGTACCCTTTGTAGACGGCCTGGATCTTGAAGGCAGCGATGTCTTGTATAGCAGCGATGGACAGGGCACCGTGCTCCAGCATGAACTGGATCACTTCATGGCGCTCACCAAGCAAAGCGTAGTCCAGGGGAGTGTACCTGAAGCAGGAAGATTTTTTTTTTAAGTGTTGGAATGTAATTCAAGGCACAGTTAAACTGACAATAATATGCAGCAGGAGGAAACTTCATTCTAAGATGTGGAATATTCCTCATGTGAAGCTATCTTCTCTACTCCAGGGCTGTTCCTTTATTCTCTGAAGGGCACAAAACAAGGGTGAAGCTGGAATCAGAAGCTTTGTGTTGCTGACCGTGCCAATTCCTGAGTTTTGTTCGCTGGCTCACAAACTGGGGGCTATAAGGATACATGATCACTTTTCTTCTTTCCCATGTGCCAAAAAATTCCCTGCTTCTATCTGAAAAAGTATTACAAATAATATTCTGTGAGATTCGTAAGTTTGAGCCCATGATTAGTGATAGTTAATGCTTGTGAAATAACAAATATACCTCCAAATGGAGAGATTTAGTATATGATAACGATGGCCCTTTAAGTCACTGCAGAAAGGATGAATTATTAAATAGTGTTGGGACAACTTGGTTGCCATCTGGGAAAAAAAGATCCTTACATCACATTTTACACCAAAATGAATTCTGAATGAAGCAAAGATCTAAGTATAAAACAAGAAACTATGAAAGTACTAGAAGAAACCCTGGAAGATTAAAAAAATATTAGAGTGGGAAGTCTTTTCTAAGAAAAATGATACAAAACTCAGAAACCACGAGATTGATAAATCCAACTACATGAAAATAACAAAATTTTGCAGGGCAAAAAACAAAGATAGTTCCCAAAACAGGAAATACTGATGATACCGGCTTAAGACAAGGTTGACATAAGGGAAGCCATGTTGTAGAAAAGAAACCCTATTGTAACTTTGAATGACCTCTGACTAACTAACCCAGCTGGATATGCACCCCCCAGGAGATCTAACTGCTCTGTAGATTTTACGACCCCTGCTTGTGCATGTACCTCCCAGCTGCGATAAGATGATAACTTTGTTCTTTTGAGTTCCTCAGAAACGTGATGACCCCCAAACAGAGAGTCTACGCTGATAGCATCATCAATGAAAACTGAGAGATCTGGTGTGGCACTCCCAGTCTGTAACACCAGAAGGTCAACATCTCTAACCCCCTCCCCTATAACCCATTGGCCTATATAACTACTGTAAGATTTTGTACCCCTTAAGATGGTTCTTTCAGACATAAGTCGGCCATCTTCCCCCTTGCTAGCAAGCTGTAATAAAAAGTCCTTTCTTTCCTACCACCTTGCCTCTTAACTATTGGCATGTCTTGCGGCGGGCAGACAAACCCCTTTTTGGGCGGTAACACTAATGGCTCCTAAACATATAAAAATATGTTCAACCTCACTCACTTAAGAGAAATATAAATTAAGATTAACATGAGAGCACTTCAATCTAATGATCAGATTAGCAAAAATCAGAAAGTTTAATAACACACTGTGCTGGCAAGGATGGAGGAAGACAGGCTCTCTCATACACTACTTTAACCTTTAGGGAGAACAATTTACCAATATCTATCAAAATTATTCATGCATCTTTCCACTGACATAGCCATTTCATGAATAGGCATTTATCCTACAGATCTGCTCTCACGTGTGAAATGCTTTATGTACAAGACTAGTTTGAAATAGTAAAAGAATGGAAACAACCTCAATATCCATCAACAGAAGCCTGGTTAAATAAAGCACAGGCCATCCATGCAACGAAGTCATCTGTATAATGCAGCCATTGCTACGGTGTATGAATAAATAAGGAACAATCTCCAGGATGTCTTGTTAAATGAGGAAAAGAAAAAATTAAGAAACAGAACAGTATTATGGAGTGCTCCATTTGTATGAAAAAGAATATATCCCTGTATGCTTGACTATGTAAAATATATCTCCAGAAATTTCCCAAGAAACTGGTAACTGTGATGACTCTGGGAGGAAACTGGTTGTCTCAGAGGCAGGGGTAGGAGGGACATTCTGTTTCAGTGAATGCCCTTTCCTGCCCTTTATGTACTGTGTACATACAGCACCTTTTTGACAAATATATTATTTCGAAAGGATGGGTATTATAGTCATATAGCTATATATTTGAATCTCAACTGGCTACTTCCTAGATGTGTGATATTAGGCAAATTCCAAATCAATAAACACACAAAAGAAAGTAACAGTCATCTATACTCCCACCCTCAGAATTAACCACTGTTAATATCTTGGCAGATATGCTTTCCTTTTTTAAAGAAAAATAATTACTTTGTAAAAATGACATATATTTTAAGAATTCAAACAATGCAAAAGGTACAAAAATTGAAGTAAAAAACCCCCAAATTCTCCCATCCAACAATGATAATGATGACTATAACTTCTTAAACACCTTACTCGATGTTTCTAAGCCACAGCTTTCCTCATTACAGCCTTGACAAGAGGAGAAAATGAAACAATAAATGTAAAAAAGAGAGCACTGTGCCTGGCACATAGGGAGCAGTTAGTAAACATCAGCTGTTGCGGTTGTTATGACAGGACATGCATGGCAGCACGGTTGGGATACCACAGCGGGTTATCATAAATATGACTTCCAAGGACCCAAACCAGTATTTATGAGTACCCGATGACCTCCTCTGATCCACTTCCTCTCAGGGTGACTGTTACAATCCATTGCAAGCAGAGGTGTTAGCAGAAATAATCAGCTGATCTATGAGGTGCAAAAAATGATGATTATATGGATGCATGATTAGACACAGAAAATCATCCAATGATTATAGAAAAGAAATTATGTCTCTTCAAAACTTACCTAACAATCACAATAATATATAGAAGGAAGAGATTTTCAGTATAAGCAAAGGGTGGTTTGGTCACTTCAGTGAGGAAACTCTGAGTTCAGAAGGAAGCCCAAAAATGCTAAAATTAAGAAACCCCCATTAAGACAGCTTGATTTGCCACTACTGTTCAGGGACCAGAAGGCCATAAAGTAGAGGTGCCTATATACACTTTAAAACATTATTTAGGGCCAGCCCCGGTTGCCTAGTGGTTAAGTTCAGCACACTCCGCTGCAGCGGCCCAGGTTCAGTTCCCAGGCGCAGACCTACACCGCTCTGTTAGCAGCCATGCTGTGCTGGCGGCCCACATACTAAACAATAGAGGAAGATTGGCATGGATGTTAGCTCAGGGCAAATCTTCCTCAGCAACAACAACAAAAAAACCGAAAAGACCCCACATTATTTATAAGCGGATAGCATTTTGTAAATTCAGAAGAACTTTAAAAAATTTCACTACATATCCTAAAATGCCTTTCATGACTGTACTTTCCCCCATGGAAAAAATTATCAGTCATAGAACCCCATAATAGTAGAACTAAATTGAACTTGAGAGGTCATTTAGTTCAACACCTTCATTTTATAAGTGAATAAAAAGACCCAGAAAGATTAAGCAACTTGCTGAAGGTTATGTAACTAGTTACCTGCAGAATCTAGACTAGAACTAAGACTGCATGACTCCCTGTTCAGTAATCCTTCCACAACACATCTATCGATTATTGAATATAAGTCTCTTAAGAATGAAACCGCTTCTAAAATCAACATGCAAATAACCTATGTATTTCGTAAGCTTGATCACTTTTTCTGTAATTATTAATATGTAGTGTCTTTCATATAGTATACAAGCAGGATTATCAAAATCTGGCTTATGAAAGTAAAGCCCTAACTATGCCTTTACTTACAAATATGACAAAATAAAATAACACGTAGTATAATGTACCCTAAAGAATGCTGAACTGGGGTCAGCAGGTCTGTGTGACCCTGGGCGATCTTTTCACTTCTCTGAGCTTCTCTTTCCTCGTCTGTAAAAGGTGAAAGGAAGGAGGGAAAAACTAGATTTCTCAGGCCTTTGTCAATGGAAAATTACATTCAAATATTTTAACTATTTTTATTACGAAAAAATTGTATTTTTATTATGACAAACGTCAAGCATAAACAAAAGTAAAGAGAATAGCATAATAATCCTTAATACACTCATTACTCAAATTTAATATTTAGCAAGATTTTTGCCACATTTGCTTCATCCAACCCCTTCCTTTTTATTTTTGCTAAAGAATTTTAAAGCAAATCCCAGAATTCCTATCATTTGATCTCTCTGCATTTCAGTATTCATCTGTAAATAATATAGACATAACCACAATGTTATTATTGTACTAACAATAACAAACAGGAATTTATTAGTAAGATCTAGCGCCTACTGTAAACACAAATTTCCCCAGTTTTCTCAAAAATGTACTTTTTACAATTGGTTTATTCAAATTAGGATTCTCAGTCAATTTTTGACTCAGGGAGATACAATCCAAATAGATAGCAAGGTTTTAAGACTGAAGTCTATATCTAGTGGTCAAGCCACTGACCATATTGTGATTATTACTACGGAATCTTTCTTCACCCCAAATTCAATTTAGAAACATTCAAGTGCTGTGCATATTCCCATCAATGTCCGAGTGTGGCTGTCAGATAGTTATTGACTGAAAGCCAGCAGTAGTTGGCAAAAATTATGTCTCTACAGTGCACATCAAGTGGTTAGTGTCAGTGCATGAGAAGTAAAAATTAGTGCTACATTGATGGTAACCAGTCGAGAAACAATGTAGATAAAGCCAAGAGATAAGCTACAATTGGACTTGCCACGCGGGAATGGTCTGACGGGATGAGGAGAATGCCTGACCTGGCATGTCAATAAACATAAACGGCAGTGCCAGGTTCTGACACTCGTACATCAAAGTGCATTGCTGATGAAACATTAAAGGAGCCTGGGATATCGTCACTGTCTCTTTTCATCTATAGACTGGCAGGTCCAGTGAGGAGGATTTTTCCTTTGGTCTTTCGGTCTGTAATTAACATATGTTTACTCCAGGAGGCAGTAAGCACCTTAATTCATGTGGTTACTTACATCTGAAATTCAAGGCTTAGCATATAAATGGGAATTGAATACCAAAAAAAATTTTTTTTAGTATTTCCTTAAAAAATAGCAGTCAGGCAGCAAATACTGTTATAGAATAAATTCTTTATACAAATAAATCATCAATAAATCTTAGAATTCTTAATCTTTTCCCTTTTGTCTTTTTAGGGCTTCAAAGGGAGAAATCTTCAGCTCTCTCACATATCTGCTTTAATGTCAAAACCTCAGCCTTGAGGATTCCCCTTGGCTTTTCAGCTTCCTTAAATGTCCAAACTCTTAAATCTTCAAGTCTTTTCTGTTTTGCAGTTGTCATTTGACTATAATAGAGAGAGTGAGTTCTTTATAATAATCACTTTCAAAGTAAGACAGTAGTCTGCATGGTCTAATTCTGCATGTGCTCTAAGAATTCCAGAGTTTCTAATGCAGGTATAAGCAGGGCAATGCTACTGGGAGCCTGAAAACAGTGACTCAACAATGCAACAATCATTTACTGAGCATCTACTTCATGAAAAGCACTGTGAGTCATACAGAGATGACTGTAATCTTCAGGATTACGAACAGAAAAGAACAGAAAAGACAGATTACATAACATTATAAGAGAACGTGAAATGTGCTAAGTGCTATAAAAATTCACAGTACAAGGGAGATAGTTTGGGATACATGACTGTGGGATCAGAACAATCCTCTTATATGAGATTGCATTTGAATGGAAGAACGATATGATTAACAATTATATTACAAATATGATTTAGTAAGGCTACTTTGGAAGCAGATGAATTGAATGAAGGAAGATCAAAGGAAGGAAAACAGTGAGGAAGCATTGTGATAGTCCCAGAAAGAGTCACAGAGGGCCAGATTTAGACAATGGTGCTGGTAATGAGGAGGAGACGACATTGTGAACCAAGGAGAGATACTGAGTCTAAAATACAGATTTGGAACTCACTGACTGCTGAAGTCCCAGTGGAGGTCAGATGGACAAAGGGGATAGGCTGAGGGAAGAGGTCCAGTCCTTGAAGAATGTTTATACTTAAAAAATAAAAAAAAAATGGAAGAAGAGACAAAAGAAATGGCGAAGGAGCAGACACAGCTGGAAGAGAACCAGGAAAATATGCTGTCACAGAAGCTTAGAGAAGAGTCTGAATAAGGTAAAGAAGAGGAGTCAACAGAACCAGTTGATGCAGAAAGGCCAATGAGAGTGGACACAGAGGACAACATATGATTTATCAGTTAGGAACTTGTCAGTGACCATTCAGACACAGATTTCAGTGTAACATGAGAATGGTAGCCAGACTGCAAAGGCTTGCATGGTGAGCATGAGGAAATGGAGGCAGTGAAGACAGTCTGAGAGAAGGAAGACTTTACAGGCAGAGAAGACAAACTTCAGAAAAAAGAGAATTGGCAAATAATAGATGGAGGATATAACTAATGGGGAAAGGTTCTGAAAGAAGTGGGAGAGATGAAGGGGTTGGCCGCAGAAAGGAGGAGCACGTTTCCTCTGAAACAGTTGGCCTAGAGAAAGTCCCTCCTTCTCTACAAAGTTTCCCATCTCCTGACAGAAAGAAAGACCTGGTAGTGGCTAAGAGGGTGGGGATGGTGTCACAGCAGGGGAAATTTTAGTTAGAACATCCATGAACAATGAAAACCTGAGCGTAGACCTGGGCTGGAGGGAGCTCAGGAGTGGAAGTCTGATCACAAACTTAAAGTTACCTACAAATTACTAGAATCTTCCTAGATCCAAGACCACCAAGAATCTCTCCTCCTTAGAGTTCACACTGTGTGAACTCCTTTTTAGTGGGCCTGGGTCCTTGGGCAATAACCCCAGCCTAACTGTAAGGATCTCCTATTATTCAAGAAATCTGTATTTAGACTAAAATCGCAAACTTTCATCTTAGCTTCTCCTTATTTTTTCATGCTACATGGTGGCACCTCTATCCAGTAACTGATAATATCCTCTTCATCAAGAGAAACTTCTTGAATATATAACACATCTACTGACCTAACTGAATTCCTAGTTCTGGTCAATCAAGACTCTCCTGACCTTATGCTAGCCACAAGCCAGAAGAAGGCCTAAATTTTCTCATCTATAAAATGTGAGCTTGCCCCAGGTGACATCACAAGTTCTGAATAGCTTTAACATCCCATGATCCTAAATCAACATTGCATGGAATTTTTGCTCTTTTCTTCTGGTTCAGGATTTCTTAGTGTAGTATTTCCTTATATTTATTATTTCTGAACCAGTAAACAAACTTGAGGTTTTTAATATAGCAGAAAGGATGTGAGATGAATAATAATACACTCTTTTCATCAATAGCTTACCTCTCTTCATTGTTTTCCATCTGATTTGGGAAAGCAGCAAAGTCTAGTAGTAATTTAATGGCATCAAGATATCCATTGTTACAGGACCAGTGCAAAGCTGTTCTTCCCTACAAGCATGAACAAAAATTAATGGAGTAGGTATTTTGGGACACATAGTTATTTATGCTAACTCAAAAATATAAACAATTCTCCCAAATTACTTAATTACAAAAAGGGAAAATATTAAGTATACGGTAGAGAAAGTGGATGGTAACTTAACCAAATGATCAAAATTAATACTATGTTAAGGGGCATCATATATCTCCAGAGGTGACACCCTGAGAAGAATTAAATATCACTTGTATAATAGTCCAACCAAAAATGTAAAACTGGAATCTTATTATGGGAAATGATAAGACAAATCCAAATTGAGTGAAATTCTATAAAATAAATGGTCTGTATTCTTAAAAAATTTCAATGTCATGAAAGATAAGGAAGGTATGAAGCATTGCTAGAGATAAAGAGGGATATTTCATAGTGTTGAAGGAGTCAAAGAGGAAGATATCACAATCTTAAATCTGTATGCACCTGATAACACAGTTTCTAAATATAACGGGCAAAAATTGACAAGATTAAAAAGGGAGATAGTCAAATCCATAATCACAGTGGAAGATTTTTAACTTATCTTTTACCATAGTTGATAGAACAAACAGATGAGAGAGCAGTAAAGATATAGAAGACACGAACAATACAATGTAAAAATTTGACCTAAGTGATATTTATAAAACATTGCATCCAACAATGACAAAATTAGCACTCTTTTCTTTTTTTTTTTGTTTTTTAAAGATTTTATTTATTTATTTTTTTCCCTCCAAAGCCCCAGTAGATTGTTGTACGTCATAGTTGCACATCCTTCTAGTTGCTGTATGTGGGACGCGGCCTCAGCATGGCCGGAGAAGCAGTGCGTCGGTGCGCGCCCGGGATCCGAACCCAGGCCGCCAGCAGCGGAGCGCGCGCACTTAACCGCTAAGCCACGGGGCCGGCCCAGCACTCTTTTCAAGTGTACATAGAATATTTATCAAAATCAACCATATTCTGGACCATCAAGAAAGCCTCAAAAGATTTTGAAAGATTAAAATAATTCAGAGTATGTTTTCTGAACACAGTAAAATTTAAGCTACAAATCAGCGTGGTAAACATAATAAGGCACTCCCTGCAAAGATGTCTACATCCTAATCTCTGGAATCTGTAACTGGGTTATCTTGTATGGAAAGGGGGAATTAAGGTTGTAGATGGAATTAAGGTTGCTAATCAGCTGACCTTGAGATGGGGAGATTATCCTGGATTATCTGAGTAGGCCCAAAGTAATCACCAGTGTCCTTGTAAGCAAAAAAGGGAGGCAGGAGGGTGAGTGTCAGAGTGATGGAGTGTGAGAAAGACTCAATCAGTCATTGCTAGCTTTGAAGATGGAGGAATGCGGCAGCATCTGGAAGCCAGAAAAGTCAAGGAAACAGATTCTCCTCTAGAGCCTCTAAAAGGAAGGCAGTCCTGCTAACACCTTGATTTTTAGTCCAGTGAGACCCATTTTAGACTTCTGACATCCGGAACACTAAGATAATAAATCTGTGTTGGTCTAAGCCACTAAGTTTGTGGTAATTTGTTACAGCAGCCATGGGAAATGAATACAATCAATAACAAAAAGATAATAAGAAAATGCCCAACTGCCTGGAAATTAAACAACACATTTCTAAATAATCTATGGGTCAAATAATAAATCAAAATAGAAATTAGAAAATGTTTGAGCTGAACGATAGTGATGGTACGATTTATCCAAATTTGTAGGATACAGCTAAAGCAGTGATTAGAAGAAGCATGCTTAAATACATATATTGATAAAGAATATTTAAAAAATAAATGATTTAAACTTTCATCAAAAGAATCTTTTAAAAAAGTGTAAATCAAACCTGATGAAAGTGGATGGCTGGAAATAATAAGGATAACAGTAAACATCAATGAAATAGTAAAAAATAAACCTTAAAATATAGAAAATCAACAAAGACAGAAGTAAGTCCTTTGAAAAGATGAATAAGCAAGATGGAAAATTTTTAAAAAAGAAAAGGGACAACACACATGACCAATATATGGAATAAATAGGAGGAAATCACTACAGGTCCTACAGACATAAAAAAGATAAGAGAATATATGACCAACTTTATGCAAATACATTTGACATTTTTAATAAAATGGATAAATTTCTCAAAAAATGCAACTTACCAAAGCTGAAAGGCAAATAATTAGAAAACCTGAATAGTTTTGTAATTATTAATGGAACTGAATTAGTTATTAAACAACTTGGGCACAAACAAAGCCCCTAGACCAGATGACTTCACCAGGGAATTCTTCCAAACATTTAAGGAAGAAGTAATACCAATCTTACACAAATTCTTTAGGAGAATAAGAAAGGAGGGATTACTCCCTAACTCCTTTTATAAGGAGAGTGTAACCTTGCTACCAAAACCTGACAAGTACAATGCAAGAAAGGAAAATTATAGGTCAATCTCTCTCATGAACATAGATGCAAAAATCTCAAAATCAAATAAAATCCATCTCTATATATATCATAAGTGGGGCTTACTTCAGGAATAAAAGGCTGGTTTAACATCTGAAAAAACAATGTCATCAATCACTGGAATTTGCCATATTAACGGAAAAGAGGAGAATAATAATATGGTCTTGTTGATAGGTGCAGAAATAGTATGTGACAAAAATTAAACAGCTACTTGTGATTTTAAAAAACTTTTAGTAACTAGAAATATACAGGAACCTAGAGCAAACATATTCAACGCTGAAATATTTAAAGCTTTCCCCTTGAGAAGCCAGAATGAGTTAAGGATGTCAACTATTACCAATTCTATTCAGCATTGTATTGGAGGTCCTAGCCAGTTCAGTCAGGCAAGACAAAAAATTAAAAGGCATAAGGATTGGAAAAGAAAAAAATAAAAATGTTATTATTCACAGATAGTATGATTGTTTATGGGGATAATCCAAAAACAATACACATGAAAACTAATAGAGCTAGAAAGTAGCTTAATATAATACTTATGTAAGAGACTGGCAACTTGTAAAAAAAATGTAAAAGGTACTACAAATTATAAAAGATGCATTTCTGATAGTTACATAATAATATAATAATATAGTTACGAAGACCACATTTTACATATTTTTCATTATGTTACTTTTACATATAGTAAAAACCTTGATAAATGTTTATTGAATGAATTAACAGGGAATATATTTTCTGACTTGTAAAACACAATTAATATGCTAGTATTTTTAAAGAGATAAAGTAACTAAACCAGCAAAAAAAGTTAATAATGGCTAAATGGAGAGAAATCAATACATTACCACATAGCCAAGGGAAGCACAGATTAACCCACATGTTTTAGAAATCAGTTCGACAGTATATATCAGAGCCTAACCATACTATTCATTACTTTGATTTAGTAATCTCACTTAGGGAAAATTATTTTAAAGGAATAACCCAAAAGAAAATAAAAGTCAAATGCACAAAGATGATTAGTGCAACATGATCTATAATAATGAAAAAGTGTCCAGCAATAGGAAGTTACTTATTTAATTCTAAAATTTGGGTTACAGGCATAGTTTGGACTCTAACTCCCCCCACCACCCCTGCCTCTGTTGTCACCTTAGAGTAATTATTTAAGCTCCATGAGCTTCAATTTCCTCTTCTGTAAAGTGGAAACAATAATAGTAACTACTTTATAGAGTTGAAGTGAGGACTGAATGAGTTATTAGGCATAGAGCTCTTAGAACTTTGGAATATTAAGCATCCATGATTATGAAAAAGATTATATACCAAATGAGAAAATATTGGTAATAATTTTAAGTGAACAAAACAAAATGTGGTTTGTGAAATCATATCATATATATACACATATATTCATATACATACATATATATGACGTATATATATTTTATAAAAGTTATAAAATTATTCCCATTTTATTATGACAAATTATATATGGATATAAAGACAAGGACTAGAAGAGAACATAGACAAATAAAAATCATTTTAATTAACAGATTTGTGAGTGAACTCTTCTTTTGGTAAATTGTTGTTTTACTTAATTTTAGCTACAAAGAAGAAATACTCTAAGCACTTTGGAGCAAACAACACAGAAAAGACCCAGGATTTCTACCTCCTTGTCTTGGATGTTCGGGTCTGCATTGTTTTCCATGAGCACTGCCATGCAGTTGATATAGCCCCCATACGCAGCACACTGCAAAGGTGTCCTTCCTGCATAATCTTGCACATTTGGATTGATCTTATTTTCTATCAATATCTGGCAAACATCAGCATTTCCTCCCAGTGCTGCCCAATGTAGAAGAGAATGTCCATCTTGGTCAACTAGATCTACCCTTGCTCCACCTGAAAAAGCAAAAATATAATGAAAATGTCTAATACTGTATAGTGAGCATTCATCAAAGAATAGAAGTTTAAAAAATATAACACCAGTCCCTTATATGCTTTACTCTTAGCAAAAGGCTTCCACATATATTATCTACTTCAAATTTTTACAATAAGCCTGTAGGTTGATCAGGATAGGAATCATTTCCCTTTTACATAAAATGAAACTGAGGATCAGACAAGTGAAGTGACTTTTCCAAAATCAAACAACTACCAACAGGTAGATCTTGAGTGGCCCTCAAGTCTCCTGATGTCAAGTGGGGCGCTCTTCCCACCATCCTTCCACCTGGGTGGCTCTCTGAGACATAAAGCTGTATTTCAATGGTGAATGCAAGAATTCCTACCTTTTGAGAGTGACTTATTAGGAGCACTCTTGGTAACTAACCTTTAATAAGTGTCTGAATCACATCTTTGTGTCCCATCTCACAGGCTCGGAAAAGTGGAGTATGTTTCATGACATCAGTAGCATCCACTTGAGCATTATTTTCCAACAATAACTTCACGGTGCTGACATGGCCAGAAAGGGCAGCAGCATGTAAAGCTAAAAAGGCAGTGAAAGAAAGTGAAGAACTCTTTAACAGCAACTTTATCTTATTATTATTCTAACTACGTATCTTTTCCTCTTTTGATTTCCTCATCATTTTGGCGAAATGCAATTTAATCTTAAGGATTCTCTATTTTATTTTTGACTTTTATAGATTTCTATCTTCCTTTCTATTTATATGTATTATTCACACTTTTTCCCTTTCTTTCTACCTTTCTCATCTCATTGTTTTCTTCCTTTCCATCCTGTTGGTCTGAAATGGCCTCCTCTTCTCACTTACCAGCTAATTTTCCTCTTTCTCAGAGAGCAAGAGAATAAATAATAACAAAGAGAAATGATTTAAATGATGCAGGCAATTCTGCCCACCAACCCACTCAACAAGCATAAGCCCCTGAGGGGTCGTATGCTGTGATCCGTCAATCTACTGTTCCTTCAGTGGGTTACACGTGCTATTCCTGTGGTTGGTCTGTGTACCCACGTGGTACCGAGAGTACACATATCTTATTACACTGAGTGCATTTTTCATACAACATGGCTCCAAATGCAAGCCAGCTGTTTCCTCAGGGCCCAATTTAAGAAACAGCAATTCGTTTGAACATTGGAGAAAAACCTGAGATGGAATGTGGTCTCCTCTGTGGTGCTGTCCTCAGGGGTTTGAAAGAGTAATTCTGACTATATGTGTGTTTCATGTTATGCTGACCCTGCCTATGTTACTCCATTCTAGTGCTTGACTTATGTCATCATTCGTAGGTTTGACTTTGCCAGGATAACAGCCGAGGCCTGGGCCAGTTCTTTCTAAGTATTACGGATCTATAATGCCTAGAACAGTGTTTCATCAAGTGTGCTCCATGGACCAAGCCTGGGATGCCTAGAAAAATGCAGATTACTGGGGATTTGTTGAGAACCTAGCATGGGCTAGGTTCTAATGTAATACAGAGAATTCAGCAGGAAACAAAATAGATACGGTTATATTCTAGTAGGGGAAACAAACAAACAGAACAACCGAATCAATAAATAAGAAACTATTAGGCAGTGGTGGACAGTATAATTAAAGCAATAAAAGGTATTTTGACATGTAAAGTGACTGGGGGACTCCTTTTGATTGGAGGTTAGGGAAAGCTTTGCTAAGAAGCTGACATTTGAATTGAGACCTGAATCATAAAAAAGAGACAGCAACGTAGAGATCTGGAGAGACAGTCGTTTGGGCAAAGGGAACAGTTCATACAAGGACAGGCATGAATCTGTGTGTTTAAGGAAGGCAAGGAAGCTGCAGCACATGAGTGAGAGAGAGGTAAGTCACAAAGGCAGAAAAGGCCAGATCATGTAGGGTCATCCAGGTCAGAGTGATGGCAGACACTGAAGGGCTTTAAGTAGGTGAGTGATAGGATCTGATTTATGCTATAAACAGATCTCGCTAGCTGTTCCGAGGAGAATGCACTATAGTAGATGGGAATGCAAGCAGCGAGACGAGTTAACACCCTTGCAGTAGACTGGGTGAAAAATGATGGTGGTTGAACTAAGGTGGCAGGATTGGAGATGGAGAAGCAGAAAGGTTTAGAATATGTTCTGGAGGTGGAGTCAACAGGACTTGCTGACAGGATTTGAAATAGAATCTCTGCCTGTATAGTCTGGGAATCTGCATTTAAACAAACACCCCTAGTAATTCTTATGTATACGTGAGTGTGAGAGCCCTGACCTAAATGGCTAAATGTTAGTCTGGCCTAGACAAGATTCAGACAGGTGTGAGAGACTTCAAATATCAGAAGGGCTGCCATGTGGAAGAAAGCATAGAGCGGAATATTCAGCTTGACAGATTTTGGCTCAATACAAGGAAGAACATTCCAGCAGTTAGGTGAAGATGGAAGCAGCGCATTCCCTGTATTGGAGCTGTTCAACCAGAGGTTGAAGGACCACTGGCGAGAATGTTATAAGGCGGATTAAAGCACATATATCTGTGATAGTTCAGGGATTTTCACATTTTAAAAGCATAAGAATGCTTTTTTCCTCCCAGATGAAATTTTATAAAACACCCAACACATAACAGGTAAGAGCTGAGTGGTTCTGACTAAAGCAGGGGTGGAGCGTTTCCCACTGAAGTATCCACCCCCTCAGCAACACCTGGGGTATCTGCAGGTCGAGAACCTGTTGTTCTGAAGGACGTGGTTTAAAAAACCTTGGACTAGATTTAATTTCAAGGTACTTTCTTTTCTTTTTTTTTTTAATTTTTTAATTTTTTAATTTTTTTTTTTCCCCCAAAGCCCCAGTAGGTAGTTGTATGTCATAGTTGCACAGCCTTCTAGTTGCTGTATGTGGGACGCGGCCTCAGCACGGCCGGAGAGCCGGTGCATCGGTGCGCGCCCGGATCCAAACCCGGGCCGCCAGCAGCGGAGCGCGCGCACTTAACCGCTAAGCCACGGGGCTGGCCCTCAAGGTACTTTCTAATTCTGAAATTTTACAGTTCTGTGATGTGGCATCAGCAGGCAATACATACTCTTCAGATAAATATCAATGTCAAACAAAAAAAAAAGGCAAAATTTCACTGAAGCAAAAGGTAGAATTAATGATCTTATTAAAGGAAATCCCATTTGTGACTATTTGCATTTACTATAAAATAACCTTAAACTCAACTATTGTTGCTCCCTCTTTGAAAAAAGTGCCACAAGTTTACATAGGAGCTCTAAAAAAGAATGTTTTTCAATTTAATTTTGTTACAGAAAATTTCAAACATAGTCAAAAGTAAAGACAATAGTCCAGTGAACTCAATATAGCCATCACCCAGCTTCCATAATTATCAATACATGGCTAATCTTGTTTCATCTAACCACCATCCAGTCCCCCCACTTCTGATTGTTTTGAAGAAAATTCTAGAGTCATATTCTTTCGTCTGTAAATATTTTAGTAAGAATGTCTGCAAGACAAGGATTCTTTTTTAAAATACAAGCACTGTATCTGTGAGTCAGGGTCCAGTCAGGAGACAGAAACCAGCCAGATACTTTAACAGAGCGAATTCAATGTAAGGAATTATCAGCTATGTATTGAAGAACTGAAAAACAAAAAGGGAACACTAAGAATCACAGAGGTAGTAAAAGCCAGGACTGAAGTAACAAAAAGAAGAGGATGGCATTATTACAAGTTAAAGCTTAGAAGAAGAGCCCTGTGGGGCTGCCACCTCTGAGCAGGGACTCTCTTGGCTGGTGCTCTCTCTGAGGAGGGTGCTCTGAGGCTGGTTCTGCGAGTGCCGGAACAACTGCAAAGTGAAGTTAACTGTTGCCACTGGAACGAACCATCACTGCTGTGTTGAAGATTTACTAGGGTGATGCTGACAGCAACAGGAAACAAAAGCAAGAAAAGTAATAAGCAAATAGAAAGATGTAATCCCTTGTTCCTCTTCCAGCTTTCCAGTGGCCCTCTACTGCCCCCTAAGGGCTGATTCTAACACGGCACCTGTTGGCAAAGGGAGGTGTGGTCTGCAGAGCCCCAGCTCCAGCACTGTGAAGGAAGGGTAGTTCCATTATCATACCTAAAAAATATTAACAAAAATTCTATAATATCAAGTATCCAGATAGTATTCATATTTTCATGATGGCTTTATAATTTTCTTATAGTTGATTTATTTGAATCAAGATCCAAATAATGTCCACATATTGCTGTTGATAAGAACTCTTTTTTAAAGGGAAGAAAAAAACTACCCTGTAGAGAGATGACGGACAGGAACTCACTGTCATAGAAGAGAATGTCAGGAAGGCATCTCTAATATATAATAAAATCCTCTTAGGGGAAAGAGCCCAGAGAATTAATGAATCTGAAGAGAATTTATGTCTGAACTCCAACCATTGTGCACATTAGAAAGACACTTTTGGTCAAAGGATGTAAATATTTTCATGCACACTTTATTAAAATACACGAAAAAGTTAAACTAAAAGCAAGGCTAGCGATAAAGTGAAAGACTGCTTACTAATGGAGATCTGGCAAAAAATTAAATGTTCAGACCGTTTAAAAACTAAGTGTCCTGTGTGTCTACACTCTACCCCTTAAGAAACTGAAGTTCTACTGTGAGGCTTTGACAAAGCAATACTTTTGAGAGTTAAAGCCTTTACCAAAATTGGTATTATCTAAAAACTCTTTCAAAAAAGTAATTTAGAAGGCGTGGGGGTCCAGGTATGGGGGAGAATTATTAGGTGTAGCAGCTCCCCTCCCCCTCTCCCCCGCCCAGTGCTGCATCAATAGTTTGGTGGCCCAGAAAGATCTTATCCGGGACAACAGGTAGGTGCAAATGGTTCTGGTATGTTTCCACAAATAAGAAAACATAACGTTGAGAAGCCCATAGCTGAGTTTTTATTGTTCAGTGTACTGTGCTGTTGCGTGATTTTCTTTCTCTTTCTGACTTGCAGTAAGGATACAGTACACAAGGAAGAGCCCTCCAAGTTGACAGTGAGTGCTAAAGACCTTGTACCTCTCTTGTTAACCAACACATAGACAAAGGGCTGTCTTATATGAGAAAGAGATGAAAAGAAGCATCTAGGAAGAGCTTTTGATGCAAAGCTGACTGGAAGCTTTGAAGCTTCTGAAGTCATGGGAGGTTATCTCTAAAATGGGCAATTCAGGATGAGGTAAAGCTATTCAAATCTGAGAAAAGAATATATTAAATGAGACTGGTGAGAACATACTTAGATGTGTGCATTCCTTAAAATATAATTCTAAATTTTTGAAAATATAATTAACTACTACTAAATAGGCATAGTTTTAAGATACAGGTTTATGTTTTTCTATATAAACGATCAGAAGAGCTCCCATAATCATGTCTAAGGAGCAACCAGGGTTTTAAACCAAAAGCTACCATTCACCTGGTAGAAACATATGCTAATTTTAGCCATAATACCTGGAGGAAATAAAGCCTTTGGAGTGACAGCCTGACAACCTAAATTTAAAAAGTAAAGATGAAAGTCAAACGATATTAGATTAGGAACAATGATTTCAAGGTACTATTTTACAAGTTTTTTAGGACCATCTACACCTTGGAGCCTGAATGAAAGCAAACGGAAGATGTCTACCAGTTCTCACCTGTGCCTCCATATTTGTCTGCCATGTTAATATCAATGTCAGATTTTAAACTCAGCATAGTCCTAAGGACATCATCACTGCCTTTCCCAGAAGCCCACATAAAGGATGTTCTTCCTTCGAGGTCTGAATCATCTTTCACTGAAGGATGTTTTAAAAACACCTTAACTGTTTCCTGTAAGAAAGTTCATTTAAAAATTTGAGACAAGAGTAGCATTTTTTTTATAACAAAGTCACTGTTATATGTGACTTCCTACGAAGCAAAGTATTTTTTCTCTGCCTTTGAATCAAGTGAAATTATCTTTTTATGAATAAGAAAACTACAATTTCCATCGAAAGCAACAATCCTCTGTCCTTATATGTTAGTTTTGGTTTCCATAGCACGTCAGGAAAATAACCCAACTCTCTCATTTGACATCCTCATAATTGAGAACAATCATCTTCAATCAAGTTTGAAAACTTTATAGGTCACTGTTAGGGAGATAAAGTGATAGTTAAAAGACTCAGAAGTATTCAGTGCTATGACCAATATTAAAATACAGGTTTTCTTGGACATTTTACATGGAGAGACCCATATATTCAGGCATGCCTACAGAGAAGATTAATGCATTCTCTCACTGTGTGTTTTGTTACTATAATTTTAAAAAATAGTTAATGCATTTATTGAAGAATGATGGGTCGTTACTGAGAAATGCAGTGTTCAATTCATTTAAACAAATATTTATTCAGCAATTCCTATATTCAAGGTTCTTCCTCTATGGAATTATACAAAAATTAGGACCTTTGATAATTATAACAGTGCTTGACAATTTTAATGGGCGTTAATATTCACAGCATTTAAAATTGCCTCTTTCCTCAAAATGCACATGCTTACAAACTTTTAGGAAGATCATAGAAACTTTTGCTTGAATGGAAGTAAATAGTTTGAGGAAAAAAATTTCTGGAGGCTGTGAGTTGGCCAAAAATGTATAAAATGTTGATGCTCAATATTTTAGAGCAAGAGGAAATTCAAGGGCTCATCTAATCCAGCCCCTTATTTTACAGATGAAGAAATTTAGGTTCAAGGTCGTACAAACATTGGTGGCAGACAAAAGAATAGAACCCAGGGCTGAATCCCAGCCATCTTTCCACTGCATCATACACTGCTTCCTAGTCTTAAAACTAGTTGAGCTACTGAAGTATTATAGCTTAACACTCCTAGGACCTAGTGTGTATGTTTATTAAGTAGATTTGAATAAAGAAATGAATAAAAAAATAAATGTTGGTGGTTATTTGGTTTGCTTTCTTTTACTAATTTGCAAACATTTCTTTATTTAGTATGTTTTCTTAATGATGAATGTTTGCAGGCATTTCATGAGGTTTTTTTGTTGTTGATGTTTTTAAAAGAGAAAATGGCAACCTTTTGTGAGTTAACAGAGTCCAAGGAGATCAAGGGACTTGAAATTGAGCTTAGAAATTTTACATAATTATTTAAAAAATCACCTCTGGAATTGGCCGATTATCCAAAGCAAGTATTTTTTTGAATAAACATCCATAATGTTCTACCATTCTTTCTTACTCCTGTTAGCACAGTTACTTAATTACTGGTATCTGTGCATATGTTAAATTTGGAGTCTAAGACTTGGGTTCAAGATTTTGGGCAAGTCATTTAATCTCTTGGAACCTTGGTTTCTTCGTCTGTAAATAGAATAGCATGTCCTCTCATAGGCTTGCATCGAACTATGGATTGAGTTCTGATTTCCATAGACTGACTAGACCAGGCCAACTGAATTTCTTATCTATTTGTAATAAGAAAGAGCTCCTCCTCAAAATACTACTTTGTATTTTTCTGAGATCTTGGGAGATCATAGAAGATAATGATTTGCCAAAACTCTAGGTGATAAATAGAATAAATTTTTAGCAATGTCAGGAAGGAAGGACTATAGTTATAGTTGGTCTGGGTACCAGAGAGAAAGAAGAGTGAGAAAATAAGGTATTTTAGCCATCTGAGTATTCAGTGTATTCAATGGTGCACTTGGGGAGGTAAGGAAGATGGAATTATACTATGCTGATGATAGCATTCTTATAATTTAATGAAACCAAGGGGTTCACTATGCACCCCATGGAGAAGGCAGCAAAACCAACTGGCTGCTTTCATGAGGGCCTCTTTGGACGAGTCTCTGGCTTTTGGTGGCCACTCATAACTCAGGAAGCTGACACAGCCTAGACACTGGCATGTTGCTGGCTGGATTGAATGACATAATGGATGAGAAAACTATATAGGGCAGTAAACTATAAAGGGCAGTAAGGGAAAAACTATTAATAATATTCAATATCTTTAGAAATATCAAAAATTCATAATTTTTCTTTCTCAGATGCATAATATACATAATTATTAGCACTAGCAATAATAAGAATGCATTCTATTTCTTGAGTACCTGGCTCTATGCCAAGGACTACGCTAGGCACTTGTCATAAATTTTCTCTAATCCTCACAACAATCCTGAAAGAAAAGGTATAATTATCTTCATTTTGCATATGAAGAAACTAAGACTCAGAGACTTGTGCAAGGTCACATAGCTAGCAAATAACATAGTCAGGATTCCAGCCAAGGTTTGTTTAGTCGGAAAGCCTCACCACAGTGCCTTCAGGACAATTAAAGACTGCTGAACACTAAGTTGTCCTTAGTGCTATAAAAGTAACAAAAATATGAAGTACACTTATAGTAAAGCAAAATGTTATACTGAACAGTTAAAATAAAAACTGCATAAAACCTCACATATGACTAACAACTTTACAGAAACTCAGACTACTACTTGCATCACAAAGCTAACAGTATGAACAATTGTTAAAAGATAATTGCTGCACAAACACCCACAAACGAGTACATGTAAAAGTGATGAAATTGGAGTAAGACCAGTGGATTGTATCAATGTCAATTTCCTGTTTATGATATTGTGTTACACTTTTGCAAGATGTTACCATTGGGGTAAATTGGGTGAAGCATACATGGGATCTTGCTGTTTTACTTCTTACAACTGCATATGAATTTACAATTATATCAAAATAAGAATTTAATTAACAAAAAAGATAATCATCATGTTTTACTTACAGCAAAGTTACTCTGAGCTGCATAGTGCAAGGGTGTTGCTCCTTGGCTGTCAGATGGGATGGTTCCAGACTTATTTCTTTCTAAAAGGAGATGGACAATCTGCGCATGGCCTGAAAGCAGACAAGGTAGTTATCACATACAAAGGATGTTAATTAAATTATAATCTATTTAAAGGAAAGGAGTAAGAAACATCACTAGCACCTAATACAGCGTTGAGAATGGTTTCTGAGTAGCAGCCCCCAGTGCAGCCTCTTCTAACTTCTCACTAAAACACAATGATAATGTAGAACAAAGGCAAAAACTTACAACACTGGGAACTTAAAGCTTCAATCAGGAAGGAAATGGCATTAACTATAATTGCCAGATTGAGAAAAAACTATATTGGTATCAGCTCATTGCATTCCCTGGCTTCACTTTATAAAACTGCCTGTAAAAATGGAGGGAAGGCACGTTAGAAGCCAGCCCCTTTCAGACATCAGTGTCCCTAGTCTCCAGGTTCCACCAATCAGAACTGCACAGCTGTTCTCTTCTGCTATTCACGAGGACAAACTATAATATAATCTCTTGTAATCTCTGGAGCCTCCTATCCATTCCTCTAACCTCCCTCCCCTATTTTTAACATCTAGGCAGTGATTTCAAGTCGCAGAAAATAAATAGGCAGAAATGATGAGGAGGTGGTGGAGAAAATACTCTGTGGTGCATTCTGGAGGATGTGGTCTGCATAAGTGAGGAACTGTAGAAAGAATCAAAGAATGAACAAACCTGGTAATAGTATATTTAGGAAACCTGGATTTCATACATTCTATTGCATCAGCATATCGCGGAACCAGGCAATGCAGAGGCCACATGAGCAGAGCAAGGATACACTGCATGAAAGTCAGGCAGAAAAAAGGAATTTGAGTGGGACTTGTGCTCTTCTACCTGCTCTCCAATTGTGGTTGAGATGGATTCTCCATAACGCAAAGGGACAAAAGTAGGATCAAAGGCGATCTATGCCATATCGTCAGTCCAGACACATTTCATCTTGTTTGAAGGATAAAGAGAAAAATTCAGTAAAGGCTGTATGAAACACACTATAGGAGGGGGGAAAAGGAACACCATCAGAGAGATGAAGAGCATACCTTGGAAAATGATCTAGAGAAGGATCCAGAGGAAAATTTCAGGAAACTGTTTGGCATCCGCAACTTAGTACAAAGAGATGGCCTCTATGAGACAGAAAGAACATCCTCAGAAGAGGACAGACTGAAATGAAAAGGGAATGGAAGGCAGTGACAAGGAAATAAGCTGAGATAAAAATAAATACGGATAAGAGAGGGAAATCAACATGCAAACTAAAATACAGTCTGTAACAGGCAGACAGAAAGCAGAACTTATGGAACAAAAGTCAGTTTAGTGATGTGGAGACAAATTTGCAAAGTCCTCCCAGAATGCAGAGGACAAAAAAAAAAGGATGAAACTGTACAGTGAAATGATAACTATAAATCTAACAATAGAACTGAATGCAAATATAAAAGTCATTTTCAAAAGAGACAATATGTAATTTAAAAACTAAGACCACAATAATAAGTGGGGAAAAACCTCAGATTACATTAACAAATACTAAAAGAGTGCTAAATAAAAGTGTGCTAAATGCCTCATTTTAAATACATGAGAATCAACAGATGCAGTTTTGCTCTTGACTCTGACTCAGGCTTAAAAGAAGCTTTTGATCAATTTAAAAGTAACCACTAATAGAACCTAACACTCCCCTAAAATATTAGGCAATTCAAAACCAAATAACAACAAATCTAGTCCATACACTAAAAGGTAGAAAATAAAGGAAACAGGAAAAAAAAAAAAAAAAAAAAAAAAAAAAACCCCAAACACTAATAATATTCAAAGAGCAGAAGAAAGACCGAATTATATACCATGACTATTAATGAGTAAAACTCCTTCACTACAAGAGACTCTCAGATTGCTCCCCTCAAAATCAGACACATACACATACGTACCCTCTCTCATCTAAAAAGGTGATCCCCAAAAAGGCTAAGTAAAAAGCATATCAGGAAAATATGAGGGAAAAATATCAAATCTCATGGTACTGGCACAAACATAAAGTTAAAGTCCTCCTCCCCAAAAATAAAGGCATTGAATATGAAAAGAAGATTATTTTACATTTACATTTGTCAATGAATGTGCATTACTTTTATAATAAAAATTAAAAGTTAAGACATGATGTTGAAATTAAAACTAATATATAACAGGGGCCAGCCCAGTAGCACAGTGGTTAAGTTCACATGCTCTGCTTCTGGTAGCCCGGGGTTCGCAGGTTCGGATCCCTGGTGCGGACCTACGCACCGCTCATCAAGCCACGTTGTGGCTGGCGTCCCAGATAAAGTAGAGGAAGATGGGCACGGATGTTAGCTCAGGGCCAATCTTCCTCAGCAAAAAGAGGAGGACTGGCAACAGATTTTAGCTCAGGGCTAATCTTCCTCACAAAAAACAAAACAAAAAAACCTAATATATAACAAAGAATACATTTATATGACTAAAATTTACACATACAATAGAGAGATTTAGGTATAAAGGGCCACATATCAATTAAGAATTAAAATAATTAAATCAGAGGTAGGAGTTGACGGGAGGAGAAGGAGAAAGTTTCCTACATTCATGCAGTTCCTCTACTGTTGATCTTCTGAGTCACACTCCACTCACCTAGTAGAGCTGCCCAGTGAAGTGGGGTTCGAAACAAGTTATCGTAAGACGTTATGTTGCAGCTCTCGTATGAGGTCAAGACATCAACCACGGTCACATTCCCATCAGCGACTGCAAAGTGAAGAGGTGTCCGACCCTCGTAGTCTTGCCAGTTCAGTAGAGACTCCGTTGGAGCAGCATCCTATTTTTAAGGAACCGTAGACTTCAGACATGAATTTCAGACATACACAGAATCCTCAATAAATCACATTTGACATAAGTATTAACTGAGCAACTTTCCAAACCTCTATATTCTCTCTCAGCACAGTTAAAGTGATAAAATTGAGAAAAACGTATACAGTCTGAATATTTAAAAATTTATTTTCATATTTAACTATAAAAGGTACAGAAAAGATATAATAAATACCACGTGCTGACTATTTAGGTTAAATAGGTATCAGATTTTGCCTAATGTACTTTTATATCTGTTATGGATTTAGCTAAAGTTGTATGTTTTGTTCTTTTGCTACATATGTATGCATCCATAAACAATACATAAATTTTGTATGTGTGTTTTCAATATTTACACTTATGCATTATACTATGTATACTCTTTGGCAGTTTTTTTCTTTCAGCGCTATGCTTTTGGGTATTTATGTTGATACTAGTTCATTTGTTAAACCGCAGTTTAGTTATCCATTCTCCTAATGAGGGATATTTAGGTTATTTACATTTTTTTCTCACTATTAACAATAATGCTGCAATGAACATGCTTCCTTTACATGTCCTCTTGTAGCACACGTGTGAGATTTTTCTCCAGCCTAGACACCTAGAAGGGGAATTGCTGGGTTGAAGGATATCTGTATCTTCAACTAGGTATTTTCAAGCTGTTCTCCAAATGGTTGTACCAATTAACACATCCACGACAATGTGTAAAAGTTTTTATTTCCCCAAATGGTGGCACAAATTAACCACTTGGTATTGTCAAGCTTACTACATTTTTTCCATTATAGGTATGAAAGGCATTTCATTGATATTTTAATTTGTATTTCTTTTATAAATGAGGTTGAGTTTTGTTTTTTTTTCTTTTTTGCTGAGGAACATTCACCTTGAGCTAACATCGGTTGCCAATCTTCCTCTATTTTGTACATGAGCTGCTGTCACAGCAGGGCCACTGACAGACATGTGATGTAGGTCTGCGCCCAGGAACTGAACCTGGGCCATGGAAACGGAGCACACTGAACTTAACTACTAGGCCACTGGCGTTGGCCTGAGGTTGAGACTTTTTTATCATGTGTTTATCGGCTATTTGGTTTTATTTCTCTATAAATTGACAGTTCACAATTACTGGATCTTTGTAGCAGATATTATGATGCACTGCTTAGGTCCCCCCTTCAAGACTAAAGAACTTATTTCCCCAACTGCTGGGACTGCTGCCAGCAGATGACCCTGCTTGTTGGCTGTCTTCTGGAATTGCTTCAGTGAAAGAGAGTTACCTCACCCAAGGTCATGTCCCTTCTTAGATTAGGTCATATCCAAAGCCAAGCCCTCCTGCCCCAATTTGAGAACTCTCTGAAGGGCCATCCCAGATTTAGAGCTGCCTGTACCGCCAGCCTATTTTACAAAAAAGAGCATGAAAGTTATTATAAACACTTCAAAAAAGAAGTAGAATATTACCACAATGGTATTTTAGGCCCTGGAGTCTCCCAAGGACCAAGTTGTGTTTACAAGGGAAAAAAAGCAAAATTTGTGAGGAAATAAGATATTACGAGTGAGAATTACCCTCCAGGACTTTGATATTCAAATTAACACATAAAAAATATAAAATAGCTATCTATGAAACATGTAAAAAAATAAAAAGTAAGGAAGGAACAAAAACTATCAAAATGACCAGGCAGATCTGAAAAACAAACAAATAGAACTTTCAGAAGTGAAAATAGAGTCACTAAGGTTAAAGGTTCAGGGCCGGCGCCATGGCTTAGCAGTTAAGAGCACGTGCTCCACTGCTGGCGGCCCAGGTTCGGACCCCAGGTGCGCACTGAGGCACCGCTTCTCCGGCCATGCTGAGGCCGCGTCCCACATACAGCAACTAGAAGGCTGTGCAACTATGACATACGACTATCTAATGGGGCTTTGGGGGAAAAAATAATTAAAAAAAAAAAAAAAGGTTCAGTGAAGAGGGCAAACAAGAGATTGGACCCAGCTGAAGAAACACTGTAAACTGGAAGACAGATTTGATGTAATCACCCAGAATGTGGCAGAGAGAGATAAGATGGTGGAAACATAAAATGGAAGTGAAGAGACATGGAAAATGGAGTGAAAAGGTCTAAAATACGTGTAATTGCAGACCCTAAAGGCAAGAGTAGAAAGAATGAAAGAGAGGCAATACTTAAAGAGATAACGGCTATACATTTTCCAGAACTGAGATGCAATAATCAGAATGTACACCAAATAGGAAAAAAAAATCCACAGCTAGACACACTGGAGTAAAAGTGCAGAATGCCACTCAGAGAAGAATTAAAAAGCAGCCAGAGAGAAAACATAAATCATCTATAAAGGAATGACAATTAGACCAATAACAGAATCCTCAAGAGGAACAAAGGCAGAAAGCAGCAAAATAATAGTCTGAAAGAGCTGAGAAAAGTAACTACCCAGAGTTGTGTACACAGGAAAACTATATATTCAAGAGTAAGGCAGAAATGCAGACATTCTTAATTAAAAACAGAGTTTACCATCAATAGATGTACACTATAGGAAGTTCTAAGAATTATATTTCAGGAAGTAAGGTAACTCTAGAAGGAAAATTTGAGATTCAAGAAGCACAGAGCAAAGAAATTAGTTAACATGCAAATGGAAAAAATCATTGTATATACAAAATAATATCTTTTGAAGTCTAATTTGTGTGCTACAAGCAAATAGGACTAAATATTAGACCACCATAGCATGTAAGTTGGAATTTGGAAAGGAATGATTAGAAAGCCTCAAAGAATCTACTGATAAATACTCAAAATTAATAAGAAAGGATAGTAAGTTGGTTAGATATATAATCAATGAACAAAAATATCAATTGCATTTCTACATACCTGCAAAAACTAGGTAAATATATACCCTAGATATGGTAAAAAAAAAATTCAAAGCAGCACTATTTGTAAATAGCAAAAAACTAGAAGCAGTTCCAAATGTCTGTCAATAACAGAATGAACAATGTCTGGTTTATTAATAAAATGGAATACTATATAGCAGTAAAAATTAATATATTTACGGCTACACACAGCAATATAGATGAAATTACCAGCATAATGTGGAGCAAGAAAAGCATGTTGCAAAAGAATACATACAACATGATTCCAGGTATATAAAATTTAAAAACATTAAAAACTAAACAATATATTATATAGGGATATGAATATATATGGCAAAACTATAATGAAAATCAATGGAATGATAAACCCCAAATTGAGGACAGTGGTTGCCTCTGAAAAAGAGGAGAATACAATGGTAGTGGGAGGTACCCAGAGGACTTCAAAGGTAATGGTAAAGTACTTTTTCTTAAACTCAGTGATGAGCACGTGAGTATTTGTCGTTTCCTTATTCTTTGTATCGTACATGTAATTTACAAATATCCACTTACATCTATTCAATATTTAATAAAAACAAGTATAAAACAAAGTCAAGGAACGATAAATATAAATTCAGGAAAGTAGTTGATGGAGAACAGGAATGAGCGCGGCAGGGGGCGAGAATGCATTTGGAAATTGGCACATTGGAAACTTCTATGTGGTCTTAAATAGCAGTATTAAAATGTTCCATTTCTTGGAGATGGGTTCACATGTCTGTTGTATTCTTTTGCTTCATAATTTGCTTGTGTTTCATATATATGCTTTCAAAAATACTGAATATTTCATAAGGAACATTTTTTTTTGGAAAGGCCATCCAGGTCCAGCAGCACATTGTACTCACCAGAATGCATCGCACTGTATGAACGGCGCTCGGATCTTTGTGGTTGGCTGCCCAGTGAAGTGGGATCTTGCCTTCGACATCAGGAATCCCGATGTTGGAATCATGCTTGATAAGCAGCTTCACGTGCTCGGGGTTATTGTAGTAGGCACTCCAATGCAGAGCTGTTTGCTGCAAGATTGAGAGATTCTCAAAACAACAACAACAATAACAACAGTAACAGTAACAACACAACAGCATACTTTTCCCAAGCTTTTAGGGTGTGACAGGCACTGTTGTAAGAGTTTTATATATTTTATCTCATGTAGTTGTCATGACAACTCTGAGAGATATGTTCTCTTGAATTTGCACGTGATTGATGAGGAAACTGAGTACAAGGAGGATACGTAATCTGCTCAATGACACATAGGTAGTAAGTGGCCAAATTGAGATTTTAACCCAGGCAGCATGACTCCAGAACCTGACCTCTTAACCATGGCAGGCATTTAGGTCATCAAGTACTAATAAATGATAATGCTGAGAAAGAGAAAAGCAGCCCAATAATTTATGAATAATTATCAGCAAGTAAGTGATGATCTTGATATTGCAACAAGTACTTTACGAATTTGATAGAATGTTTTGAATTTTAATATCTATCAAAAAGAAGATCCATGCATAGGAAATCATGGATCTGAACCCATTTCTTACATCAGAGGATAAATTTAAATTTAACTATAATTTTACAGGATAAATTGTTAGACTTAGTTACTGATGTTAAGCTACATTTTGAAAATATAGCAACACTTGCTTTATTCTAGATAAAAGTTAAAAATGAACATTCTGAAGTTGTTGATGTTGCTTTAAAATCTTTCTCTGCTATTCTTATCAATCAGTAAGACTGATTTCCCTATTAGGAGAGTTATTAGGGAAACACATAGAAACTGTTTAGATATACATTATCCCTTGCAAGTAGCACTGTCAGCAATACAATCTAGAATTAGATCATCTAACAGCAGGAACCAAGCTCATTTGTCACATTAAAAATTTTAAACATTGACATACGTGGTATTCATTTAAAGTGTACCTACGGGCATTTAATACGAAGAGTCACTATTTAACTCATTACTTTTTGTTTAGTAATAACTGCAGAACAACCTCAAAAAAGTTACAAATATAATAGCAATTAATTGCCTATAACTACATTTTCAATAAACAACATGTACAGTTTCTATAATTCTTTTTTTCCCATATGTTTTGTTTGTTCTGAATATATTTACTGAAATGTAATGTCATGTCTGTTGAATCTAACAGTAAAAAGTTTAGGGTTGTATTTTCTACATCTTTGTTTTTCACTTTTCTAGTAATTCTTTTTTTTAATACTGTGGTAAAATGTACATATAAAATTTACCATTTTAACTGTTTTTAAGTGTACAGCTTAGCAGCATTAAGTACATTCACATTACTGTGCAACCATCACTATCATTCATCCCCAGAACTTTTTCTTCTTCTCAAACTGAAACTCCAGACCCATTTAATAACTCCCAATTCCCATCTCCTCCCAGCCCCTTGGCAACCACCATTCTGCTTTCTGTCTCTATGAATCTGATTACTCTGTTCCTCATAAGTGGAATCACACAATATTTGTCCTTTTCTGTCTGACGTATTTCACTTAGCATAATTTCTTCAGAGTTTATCCTTGTTGTAGCATGTGTCAGCATTTCATTCCTTTTTAAGGCTGAATAATATTCCATTGTATGTATACACTGCATTCTGTTTATCCAGCTGTCCATTAATGGACATCTGGGTTGTTTCCATCTTTTGGCTACTGTGAATAATGATGCTATGAACATGGATGTACAAATATCTCTTCATGTTCCTGATTTCAATTCTTCTGGGTGTATAACCAGAAGTAGAATTACTGGATCATATAGCAGTTCTATGTTTAATTTTTTGAGGAATCACCATACTGTTTTCCACACTGGCTGCACAATTTTACACTACCATCAGCTGTGTGCAAGGGTTCAAATTTCTCCACATCCTCACCAACACTTGTTATTTTTTGTTTTTGTGATAATAGCCATCCTAATGGGTGTGAAGTGCTATCTCATTGTGGTTTGGGATCTATATAGAAGAATATATAGATCCTGGAAGACAGCAGGAAGTTCATAGAATGTACTGGGGAAGACATTATAAAGCCCAAAGACATTTGTAGCTTCTTAAATTGTTAATAGGTCTTTGTGGATTGATCAAAGTACTTTTTTCAGTGAAATATTAGCACTATAAATGCTGTGAGTTAGGAATAATATTAGTTCACAATAGTTGTAAAATAAAGTTAAAGGTGATTTCAGAACTCTGGGTTATGTGAGTGACTATTAAACAAAATCTGAAAACTACATGAAGAACACTAGGAGAGTGAAAGGATTACGGGATATAAACCCAGTGGATTTAATCATAAGAGTTTTAATTATGTGGGAGTGCTGGAGTTAGCAATACTCTATGATTAAGTGCCTGGCGGAAAGGAAGAGGATTATTGCACTTGTCTAACTAAACACTATATTTTTTTCCTGTAAAGAATGATCAGAGTGTCCATCAAAACAATGACGAGTGTGTATATAATATGCTAAAATCAAGAGCAGGGAAGATCACAGATCCTAGCAACAAATGCCAGACAAAATGTTAGAGCCCAAATGAAACTACTACTAACAATTTTAGAGCTAAGATTGATTGAGAGCATCCTATGCGCTGGGCATTGTGCTAAACACTATTTATATGCTTTATCTCATTTTATCTTCAACAGCCCTATTATCCCCTTTTCATATAAGAGAAAATTGAGGCATAGAGGAGTTAAGAAATTTGCCCAAGGACACAGAACAAGTAAGTGTTGACTTCTAGATTAAAATTGAAGAAGTCTGATGCTAAACCCCAAGCCATTAAACCACTATGTGCTTCGTACATTACCCCGGGCATCTGGCCACCACAAGTCTAACCACCTATAGCAACTTACAGTAACCACTTGTATCAGGACCAGTGGTCAAATACTGGGTTTTGGAGTTAGGTCTGCATTGAATTCTAGTCCTGCCACTTGGATCTTGGGCAGAATTTTAATCTTCCTGAGCTTCAGTTTCCCCATCTGTAAAAAGGAGATGATACTACCTACCACACCTGGTTGCTAGGAGGATAAAATGGTGGAATCTAAGTGAAAGACTCTACTAGGGTGTATGGAGAGTTGAACTTGTTCTACCATGCATATGAGTGGCAATTTAGGTCTTCTTCTTTGAGGTTTCACATCCTAAAAGGAAGCATTTTCTTTCTGCTCTTATTTGCCTTCAATTTTGACAGTCCATTACCTTGTTTCTATCCTGTGTGTCCACTTCTCCTGGTGCCATAAACTTCAGCAGAAGCGCCAAACACTTCGGGCTCTTGTGCCGGGTGGTCAAGTGCAGAGGAGTCATCTCTTCCAGATCCTTCTGCATCCAGTTTGCTCTGCGTGTCAGTAAGAGTTTCATGAAACGATAATTTCCCTAAATAAAAAACAAGAGACAGTAAGAAGAAATTTAGTATGGGGCAAAAGAATTTTTTTAATTTTAAAATGTTTTAAGTATTTTAATTATTCTGCCAGAGTAATAACATGCAGCTAAATTAATAAAAGGAAAAATACTTATAATTCCACTACTCTATCAATTGTATTTTTTCATGTTTCCTTCCAATCCCTTTCTATATGCATATAGTTTACACAGTGATTGGTCAGTATTTCGTTGTGTTAAAGCAATGTATTTCATTTAACAATTTTATTATTGTTTCCAATATTTTCTTTTATAGAAAATGCTACAGTGTACATCATTTTTCTTTTTTCTTTTTTTTTGTTTGCCGAGGAAGACCGGCCCTGAGCTAACATCTATTGCCAATCCTCCTCCTTTTTTTTTTCCCTTTTTCTCCCCAAAGCCCCAGTAGATAGTTGTATGTCATAGTTGCACATCCTTCTAGCTGCTGTATGTGGGACGCTGCCTCAGCATGGCCTGACAAGCGGTGCGTTGGTGCACGCCCAGGATCCAAACCCGGGCCGTCAGTAGTGGAGCGCGCGTACTTAACCGCTAAGCCACGGGGCTGGCCCCACATCATTTTTCACATAGTTTTTTTTTCTTAATTTTTTCATAAGAATAAATTATCAGGAACCAATTTACTGGGTCAAAGGAGTTTGTACATTTTAAGGTTTTTGGTGTATTTTCCAAATTGCTATCTAGTAGCAGCAATGAGTATATTAGTTTCAGTACATTCTGACCAATATAGCACATATTATTTATATTCAAAATATAATAACTCTGTGAAATAAGCAGAGATTTTTGACCCCAATTTACAGGTGAGAGAAGTGAGATTCAAAGGGGTTAAACCTTTTGTTCATAGTCATCTGGTTCACGAAGAGGAGGTGCTTAGTCTTCTTGAAGAGAGCTATTTACAGACACAACTAAGATAGATGCAGCTTGTTCAAAGTTTGAGTCCTAGACTCATATGGTCACCTAAACACCAACCCAGAAGTCACTGTAGGCCATCCAGTGGCAGGCAATGCTCTCCACATCAGTTAAACCCTCCCATCTGGTAGAATCAACCCATCTGGAGAAAGAAGTTTAGCAACAGGGGCTAGAGCAATACAGGCCAACGCTATAGTATGGTTGTGTAATATGGGAGCTTTGAAACCAAACAAAACTCTCGAAAAATAGGTCTTTGGAGCTCTTTCTTGAGATCTAGTTCCATATTTCCAATTCTAGTTGGAGCCTTCAAGATGCTTGGTATCACAGATATTTCAAAGTCAATACGACCAAACTGCATGATCAAGTTCTCTGCCTAATTCATGCTTATTTACTGTCTCTATTCAAAGCTTAGAGACAGAGTTATCTAGCCTTTTCATCTTCTGAGATCGTCTACATCCTTAACCTTGCTGGAAATGTGGTCTTTTAGCATCATAATGCATTGCTGTTCTAACATGAGGGGCTAACGCTATTAGTAAGGAAGACATTTGTTAACTCAAGCAGGCCCCTCACTGTGAAGAATGTGAGGTTCTAAGGCAAAGGGGACTAGCTAGATCAATAAAGAGGTGCAGAGGGATGAATAAGACTTGCCTGCTTGCCCGCAGGGGCACGGACAGGATTCAACTCAGCTCAAGGGTTGGGGCAGAGATAAGAAAGAAGAGGCTAGGAAAACAGTCCATATGGCTGTCTATATTAGATGGGCCCACTTGGAATGGACTAAAAAACTAACTGATGCAGCTCAACTAGTTCCTCTCAGAGAGGCTTTCCTTGACCACCCTAAGTGGAACTTACTTGGTTATTCTTTATTCTAGCGCCCTTTCATTTCCTTCATAGCACTTTTCTCAGTTTGCAGTCACATATATATTCGCTTATTTCCCTTCACTGTGATCTCCCTCGCAAGCTGTAAGCATCGTGAAGGCAGAGACTATGTTTTATTGACCATTGTGCTCAGCATAGTTTCTGGCACAAAATAGGTGCTTAATAAATATTACTTGAAGGACTGAGTGAATAAGAGGAAATGAAATATCTTCTAGAGGTTTTGTTCTTATTTTAAAATTCTTATTTACAGGTGCTATATTAGATCACAACAGTTAAGACTCTTAATTCTCAAATATGTGTTATTTTGTTACTCTTATTTTTAATGTTTCAATTCTCTGAGCTTCATTCATAGTATACATCATATATCCGGACTTATTTCACCCAATGCCAGCTTTCGAGAAGGAAGGTGCTAAAATTTCCTCAAGAGGGCACCCTGCTCTAAATCTCTTGCCATTTTTTCTTTGAAAAAAAAGAAAAAGTGCCTAGGAAAAACAAATCTATGTGGTACTTCATATCAAAAAATAAAATTTTACCTTTCTGAGCATAACATTTCAAATATTACAGAATAATTCATCATGACCTTTTAAAGATATTCAATCAGACGATGATTTTGATTGCGAAATTTAGAGGAAAAGGGAAGGAGAAGAAGGAAACTAGACTATCTTGGGGGAACGGTGACTACTGACTTACCGACACAGTGCTTGGCATACTTACATTTTACATTATTCTGGGGATTCTACCTACACAAAACGTGGTACATCTCAGTAACGATATTCATTCATTCATTCCACAAGCATTCATTTAGCCTTGTTACGAAGCAGGCAGTAGTAAAATGTGTGCACTAAGCTTTACTTATTACAAAGCTCTCTGATGTAGATTTCATCTTTGCTCCTCACAGAAGTATCATGGAAAATTTTTACAGATTAAATAAAGTATCTGCCTGTGCCTCTATTTCCTCATCTGTAAATAGGGATAATGGTAGTCCTTGAGATTATTGTCCATATGAAATGATGAAGATAATCTTTGTAAGGTACTTAGAGCACAAAGCAAACTCTCAGTAAATGTTTGCTAATCTTATTATGAGCAGTTTTCCAGTGCGGAGGAGGCAACAAAACATAGATGGTGGGGTGGAACCAAGAACGGCCCATGATAGAGGGCAAGTAGATAGAAAGATTTGACTGTACGTACTGTACATAGTTCAGATAGTGATTAAGAAGAGAACCAAGGTTAGGGACAGATAAAAGTAAAAATAGTTGAAATGTTAAAAATAATGGTTTTTCTGATTTTTTTTTAGATTTAGAAAGACATCTATACTCTACCTACAGATAATGATGATATAAGACCAACAAGAGCATATCCAATAGGAATTTACCCCGGGGAAAGGTCAGCTATATCATCAGGCCAGCTTCTCCTATTCCAAAGGACAGAGATACATCAGATATTATGCACAAGTGCTGGGACTAGAAGCAATACAATCCATTTGGACCAAGGTCAACTTCCTTAGTCTCATGAACAAGCATTTATTAAATGCCCAGTGTATGTAAACTCAATTCTGGGAATGAGCAGAGGGAACAGAGAACTCTAAGAGCTAAAATCAGGAGAATATTTATAGTGTCTGTGGAAAAGGGGCAGACACTAGTTTGAGGCAGCAAGCTAATTTTAACCCTCTGAAGGTTGTATGACCCTGGGGACCCAGGTTAAAGGTTACTTTGCTTCCCGTAAAGTCCCCTCAATAAAAAAACAAAGTGTTCAAACATTTCCTCAATATTGTTTGAAATTAGGACTTACGTGTTCAGGTTCATTCTTATAACACAAATACTTTTGGGAAGATTTGGAAGTTAATCATTTAGTACCATATCATAGGGCCCCACAAAACTTGATCCTGAGGTGAAGACTGTTTTGGGAGCTGCTTTTATAATTTCTGACTGGGTAGGAAATAGTATAAGAGAGAAGGAAATAATAGATCAATAGAGCATATATTCTTAAGAAAACTCTGACGGTAGGTGAGCTGAAGTTACAGAAAGGTGCTGATTTAGTCACTAAAAGGACATTACTCTGACAAGATCAGGTCTATTGTACCACTGAAATGTGAACACATTTCCTAATGTCTCAAAACATTGAATAAGGTGCTGTTTTGTTTTCTTTTTTCTGCTAGGTAGTCATAATCCTTATCTTAATCTTCTTGTAATTAGTAACACCAAGAGCTTCTTTTGTCTATAACATAAATGATTATGATTTCGATTTTCCCCAAATGCATGAAAAGAAATATAATATCTAAAAGGATAAAAGAGATTGGAAAAGTTCTCTGATCCGGAGAATAGCACTTGCAATGAATCTGGGAAACAAAATCAGCCCCAAATGTCACTTTTAACCTTATATTTTTGTCTGTCCAGTTCTCTAAGATGAACTTCTTTTTAGAAAAAGGATATAGTCATTTAATCTTAATAATAATGATACAGAAATTCTGAGTGAAATACCTTGATATTTTGCTTTAGATTTTCTACTTTTAAGAAACAAAACATAACAGATATGGTTAATGCTCCCTTGTGCCCTTGCCCAAATCCACTACCTTCTCTCCCGCTTTAGAGCCCACTATCCTGAATTTGGCGTTTATCATTCCAATGAATGTTTTAATACTTTTATTTTTTACAAATAAATGTATCCATAAGCTACATAGTAAAGCAATATTTTTGAGATTTATCCAAGTTGCTTTGGCTCATACATTTTCACTGGAGTATTTTGTGATACAAAAATAATATATTGTATTTATTTATTCTTCTCTAGAGGAATATTTAGCATGTTTCTCATTTTTCACTATTATAAACAATATTGTAATGAATTGTCTTGTACATATCTCCTAGTGAATCTGTAAGAATTTCTAAAACTGCTGGGTTGAAATTGCTCTCTCAAGTAGCTACTCCAATTTATATTCCCACCAGTAATATATGGGAATTCTTGTTTCCCCACAACCTTGCCACACTTGGTTCTGTCAGACTTGCCAATATAATGGATATACCATTGTGTTTCACCATAGATTTAATTTTTATTTTCCTGAATGAGGGAGAATGTTTTTATATGTTTATTGGTTATTTGTTTCTTCTTCAGTGAATAGCCTTTTTGTGTTGTTTACTCATTTCCCAATTTAGCTATTTGTCTTTTTCTTACTAATCTGTAGGAGT